GTGAACACGAAGAGGAAAATATGGTTTGGTGGAGCGGCTTGAATATTTACAGAATTATGGGCTTTTTGGGTCTTTTCATTTCAGGAGTCCCACCAGTCCACCATGTAGCTATACGTGGCAAACGACCTTCCAGGTATAGGATTTTGGGGGGGGCAACCGGTCGGCCTGGTCCCATTTTCTTCGAAAAACGTATGGAACACCCAATGAAAACGATTATTTTCTTGAAAAAAAGCACATGGAAAACTCGATGTTCAAAAAAAAATGGAAAAACCATGAAAACGATGATTTTCTTGAACAAACACATGGAAAAACCGATGTTCTTGAACAAACAAAACAAATGGAAAACCCATGAAAACGAGGATTTTTTGCTGGGGGGTGTTGCGCTCTTCTGCTTCTGGCCAGGCTTCGCAGCTTCTGGAGCGCGCGCAGACGGCGCTCAAGGCTGGTGTCCCACCCAAACCCACTCAGAGTGATTGGTTTTCCTGAAGATCTCGTTACAGTTGTGTAGCCAAGCGCTGTAGGGATGAATCCATGGGAACCCGTGGAAAAACATAGGCGCTGTAGGCGCTTCCTCTCGATGTGTTTGTTGGCTTTAGGGGGAACCCGGAGGCAATGAGAGCAACACCGCCTGACCGCAGGAGGGCGAAAGAGGGGAGGAGGAGTTGCCCAAAGCCCTGCGACGCGTGGTGGTGGCCAACCAATTGGGCATCACTCAACTGCTACGTTTGGATGACCAGGAGATCTTGGACTTGTGTTTGTTTTGTGCCGGGATGGGGGCACGATTGACTGCCTACTAGGCAGCATTAGGATCATTGAATCAAGGAATGTGTTTGAAGGGGACAACCTTCCAGTGAATGTGGACAACTTCCATGGGTGAACCTTCTATGACCAGGAGATGCGTAGCAAAAAGGTCGTCGCAGAGACTGTGCATCACCCGCACTTTGTCTCCATTCAGCTGGTGGACAAGTGAGATGGCCCGCTGTCTATCGCAGGATAGAGATCGAGTGATGCGATGGGCTCGGCGAAAAAGACACTTGTGGCCCGCGGCTGATCGGCAGATTCATCAGTTGCTTGCAAGAATGGTACTCAGTAGAGATCCCAGTTGCACGCAGACAGCGGCCTGGGTCAAAAGTTAGAAGAAGGCCACATATGGCCATATGGCCCAAAGGCAGACAATTCTGTTTTGGCATGCTCCCATTTCAATTCCCAAAAGTGTTATAGGTGCCAAAAGGCTACAGGTTCAATGATGACGTCATTTAACCCAAGCCTTCTTGGAGCAAGGAAAAAAAACGGACAGACTCTGCTAGACATGTGTTGCATGTGCTGCCCAGTCGGCTCAGAATGCTCACTCCATGCCGTGTTTCGCGCTCTCGCACCGCGTTCGCGCGTGTTTTGCGCGCTGCGAGCCGTCGATGCTGTGTGACGAGCGTCACCGAGATCGAACACCGCGATGACGGCATCTTGGATCTGCTGGCAGAGGTCAAGACACGAACAAACTATACAATTGAAGCCAAACTCCTTGAGATGTGGAATCGAAACCATTTGCTTCCTTGGGACTCCTCACTTCGTGAAAACTTAGATTCGAACTATAGATTTTACATAGGGTCCAGGTGTAGTTTGTCCCATTTCCACTAATGTAGACCCTTGATGTTTTAGCTAGCCGCGCCTGTAGGGGGCCGGGTGTTTATGCATATTTTTGGCTTTTGTGTCTTTGACGTCACTTGTGCATGCAAACATACTTGACGCTACATCATAGATGGGATGGGGGTGGGGTGTGGGTGGGGTGGGGTGGGGTTCTTGCAAACCTCTACAAGAAGCTTGTTCCAGGTTCCAGGATCTGGGCCACGCGTGTGGACAAGTCCAGTGAGTGCGAAAAGTACGCATTTAGCCCGTGGACCTTTAGGTTGTTCTGTTTTTAGGCGGTTTCGTGTCGCTTCGCTTCGCCTGTTGTAATGCATGTCGCTTCGCTTTGCTTCGTTTCGCTTTTCGCTTCAATTCGCTAGAGAAGTAAAAAATCATTCTAAACTTTTGGACTATAGTCAAAACTGTTTGAAACTGTAGGGAAACCTCTAAAAACGAAGGTTCCGAGCAACCTTCACAGCATTTTTGCAACCTCCCAAAAACACACTCCGCGTAAAAACATGCAAACCGTGGGAAATTACACAATTGCTACAGGACGTTAAAAAAAGAAACAACACACATCACAAACGCACGGCCCCTTAGTGGCGCGCCAACCATGGTTTTAAACACCTCATATGGATATGATCGGGATGTAAAGCCATTCTGTATCAACAGTCTATACATATGTCTGTCAAAACATCAACCGTCCGCAAGAAGTGATTCTGTTGCTGGCACTAATGAGATATACCCAAACATCGGAAGTACGTACGACTTGTTCTTCACATCTTCAGATGTTTCAAGGGTATATGTTTCGATGCTCCAAACTTGTGCGTCGCTTTCTGGGAGTTTCTGGCACCGGTGCTCAGGTAAACACAAAGAGGAGGGAACCTGAAGACATCAAAGAGATCCACTTATTTTATAATATCAAGTGTATGGACTGGGCCGGACTGTCCTTTGGAGATGGGTCCAACCCCTACCCCAAACATTTGGAGGCATTTGGCCAAGAAGATCCGAAAAGCGGGGGGGAAGTGTGGTGATGAATTTGAAGGCATGCAGGGCTAAGAATTCCCTGAGGTGCCTTCAAGCGCTACGTCCCTGGACCCAAGACAGGAGGCTTTGCACGAGGCAGGACAAGACAGGAGGTTTTGCATGAGGGTCTCCACCTTTCACTCCTTCATTGTTCGTTATCCATTGCTTTTTCTTAGTTGGTCACAGCTCGCAGCCCTCACTCACCCCTTGGTGGCCAAAGAGCACCGGCGATGGCAAAATCGTCCTTGACAAACAGATCAACCCAGCCAGTGTTCAATCGTGTTCAGCAAGTTTTTTGGATCCCCAGTTCAAACATGTTCAAACACTGGATTCCAGCGCCTGACCCTCCCTCCTGAAAGAGGCTCCTTTATCGCCTGGCGCCGCCACGAGCGCGTGCGCGACGAAGAGGGGAACCGCCTGCTGCGCACGGACTCGATTCGAGAGCTCTACGACTTCGCAGAGGTGGTGGGCGAGGGCGGCTTCGGCACCGTGCTGCGCGCACGGCACCGGCGCACGGGGGAGGTGGTGGCCATCAAGAGCATTGCCAAGAGTCAGCTGAAGGATGAAGAAGCGCTGCAGTTGGAAGTGGCCTTCCTGAAGATGTCGGATCATCCCAACACAGTGCGCTACTACGAGACTTTTGAGGATGCTCACGACATCCATTTGGTGATGGAGATGTGTTCAGGTGAGGTTCACTGGACGCCGGAGTTGTTCTATGTTTATATATTTAGCTGCCGGGACAGCGCCGAGGGATTTGAAGAGTCTACTACTAAGAACCCCCGAAACAAGTAATTAAGTATAGCATAGCATATAGTATAGCCATGGCAGCAGCGCACACCTCTGTGAAACATGTTGTCGAATAAGCCTTTGGCTGCCGTGAACCTCCTGCTGGAGGGTTTGGGAGAGGATGTGTTATTGCAGGGTGTGGGGGACATGTTGGTCTTTGTGGAGGGTACACCAGAGTGAACATTTTAGCACGTTTTCCTTATGTTTTGGTGGCCTCCATTTGTGGTCCAAAACATGTTCCATCACGTTCCTCTTGATCTCCACTTTTTGCACAGCTCCCTCAGATCTCCCGAGAAGAAGCTTCGCTTGGTCGGTCAGGTGGCTCTCTCGCTCAGTACATCCAAAATGCCCACGAGGACTTTGGGCCACTCAGCTAGCAGCAGCTCGCAGAGAGGTAATTAAGCCATCCCAAATAGAGAGATTGATTATGCGCGCTTGGTGGATCTTTGGACAGCATAGGATCATTGAGGATCACTGGATTTGTTGAGCTCTTTGTTTAACCGCTTTTTGCAGAGAATCTGAGTATTTACTTGGTTGATTCATGAGCCACTTCTTCGTTGTAAGGACTTAGATCGTTCGCGAGTGGTGTGGATGGTTGACATGTCCGCTTTGAGGAAGCAAACTGTAGAAATCCGAAGGTTCTCTCACCACTCCCCACGGAACATATATACATCCGGTCCATTCATCATCTACGTCAAAGCCCTTTAATATTGTACGCCCACTGCCTACCGGGGCCTTTCCATTCCCCCATTCCACATCCCGAATCCACCTCGATCCGCTTCAGGCCGGGTGTCTCGGAAGACGAACTGGCACGCATCACACTGCAGATGCTTCAGGGCATCGCCTATTGTCACGCACATTCGGTGGCCCATCGGGATATCAAACCCCAGAATCTGCTCTTCAGCTGCGGCGCACCGTCACTGGGCTCGCCATCTTTGTTCCGACAAAGATGCCTTGGGATATCTTGGCATATCGGGGTTGATATATGCAGCGAGGCGCAGACCTTCTAGAAAACAGTGGGAGATCCAAGGCAGGTGGTGCAGGAAGTCCTTTTTTTTCTTCAGCAGAAGTGATGAAAGGTCGTGTGGGGAAGTTTCGGTCCTAAGGGTGCAGGTGAACATGGTATAATGAGACCAAAGTTGCTCTATATCATCGTTTACCTTTTGAGGGAGTTGGGGATGTGCATGGGGAATTGTTTGGGGGGGAACACGTGCGCCAAACTTGATCACTCGATCTCTCGTGCAACTAGCATACAACGACTATAGTAACTATAGCAACCTCATGTCCCGGAGACTCAGTCTTTTGTGAGTCAGGAATTCCCCTATGATCCACTGCCGTGTTTGGAACATGATGACTTCAAAATACTTCAACACCTTGTTCCAAACACGGCTCCTCATACATGGTTTCTGTGACTATGGTGTCTCTTATACACTGGGCATGTTGAACGCGTCCGGTGCCGCGCCCATGAGGAAGACGGGGAGCGCCATCCCCATCTCCTGCAGCGGCCATGGAGACGCTCCACTGAAACTCGTGGACTTCGGTATCGCAGGGGTCTTGAGGCGCAGAAACAGCACGGAGGGAAGGGATGGTGGCGCGACCCGACTTCAAACATCACATGGAAGTGGATGGCATGGATGAACATGGTCCGGAAGACTATGCGTCTTCCTCTACCAACCAAGCTGTGAACTCCACTGACGAAAGTGATGTGAGACCGTCAGAGTGTCAGCACTTCGGGTGCTTGGGAGATCTGGGGAGTTTCGATCGGGAGAGCCTGTTTCGAACCCTTGCAGGTCAGTTCGGTTCCTGCATCTTCCACATCATGCTGTTGGGGTCGGTGATTTGGTTGACTCTGGTTTCCACAACTGCTAAGTTTCAGAACACCCATCCAGATGTAAACTTCCCCAAGTTGATCAAGGACTCCCGAGCCGGCGCTAACGCCGCGTTCCGACCCGTCACCCCGGCCTCGGGGTCCTCGCCCGGTCCTCGCCCCGCAGGAACGATCGCCCGGAGAAGCGGCTGCTGACGAAATGCGCGGGGACCGTGGGCTACATGGCACCTGAGGCGGGACGAAGCAACGAACGAAGCCACGAGAGGGGACCGGAGCAAGTGGGAGGCCCAGGGGCGGAGGTTGGCAAAGATGGGAGCGACGAACGAGGCGCCTTTGAGGCCTTTGAGGTGCAAAATGTGTGGTCCAGTCGGCTTGCAGTTGTTCTTTTGCACCCGGAACAATGTACCGATAAAGGTGACTGGGACGTTCTAGATGGCACTCTGAAAGCGACCCAAGGGGCCCAAGCTGCGAAGGAGCAGGAAATGGATGGACATTGAGATCCTTTTACCTACTATGTCAGTGTCCCTAACCCAACGGCTGCGACCTGGGAGGTCTTCGGCTCTCGACCTTATGATGGTCGCTCGGCAGACCTCTTCTCCATTGGAGCAGTAACTCGGTCCCGTGACCGATCGTGACCGAGCTTCGACGTCCTGAGAACTCCTTGGCTCGGCTCAAGTCGCCCAAGACTTGTACTAACCACTTGTTTTTTTGAGCCAAGACTTTTGATGCAGAAAGGTTGGACATATTTGGAAGTACTTGGAAGAGTTCCAAAATACTATACCAACTGACTCCCTGCCAAAAAAAAATAACTCGGCAACTGCCCGGTAGAAGAGCGTATTTTTTTTCATTCGAGGGAACCGGGGGCGGCTTTTGTTGCCCAGACTTGATGTGAGCAAGCAAGGTAATGCACCACATGATCGTTGGCGTACCACCCAGCTGGAAAAGCGCCACAAACACCTATGAGTTCCCTGGGAAGGTGCGCTATATGCAGCTCTCGGAAGATTGCCAGTCGCTCATGGAGCATTTGCCCCCTGACCTTGAAGCAGCATAATTAATATGTTTTGGATGATTTTGATCAATGATTGGGTCGCATCGACCTCCAAGCCTATCCAATTGGTATGAAGAAGGTTCCCGAATGAAGGGGCTGTTGAGACATAGTGTGTGATCCCAGACACTCCATCTATATTGGCATGTTAACCGACCGGTGACAGTGAGGGTGGTTGAAATGGGGGTCGATGTAGCGTAGCTACTCTCCCTGGAACTCACATGGAAGTGGAGTGGCCTGTTGGGTATTTGGAACATGGTCTTCCAAGGGGCCATGCCATCCACTTCCATGTTAGTTCCAGGGAGTGTCAATATTCCAGTCCCATGGAGTCTTCGGAGTTTTTTCGTAAGTCATACCTGGCTGTCTGGCGTTGGGCTCTTAGAGCACCGTCAACAAACACCCGCTTGATCATGGCTTCGTGTGGCACCAAATGGCTTGGCCAAGTTACTATGAGGCATCCCAAACTTCATCAAACTTCCAACAACCAACTCTTTTCCGAGGCTGCATGAGGAGCCAGAGATGAGGCCCACGGCTGCCGAAGCCTTGCAACATCCCTGGTTCGACCGCGGCGGTTTCCACAACCCGCGGCATGGACCGGTGGAATCCATGGCAGACCTGCTGGAGCGCTGCTTTCGGCGGATGCACGACTTTTGCCAACGAACCCAGCTGCAGAAGACCATCATGTGCCTCGTTTCGATTCAGGACATGTTCCGAGCATGTTTTGATGTGTGTTTGTTTTTCAGCCTTTTGGTTCATTTCGTGGTCACTCGAAATGGAAAAGACAAACAACAACGGAACAGAGCAGTTCATCGGGGGTCGGTTTTGGGGTATAGCGAATATGTTTTGTTTGTCCGCTTTGGAGGGGTAATTTGTGGCAGTATTTGTATGGCAACGCCAGAATCTCCAGGAATGGCAGCTGTGACCTGCTGATGATGAACAGGAGAACCAGGTTGCACCATCCATCAACCCACGTAAGCTCTCGAATTTGAGGCACTTGTCCCATCTATCATCTATCTATCTTGCCTGTCACCCATCACTTGGAATATCTTGGAATCATATGAAACTGCCACCCAGGTACAGCATGGTCGCCTTCGCTGGGCTTCACAACCACCACATGGAGGAGTTGCGCACAGCCTTCCTCGTCGCAGATCGAGGGAAGTCCGCTGGGGTGAGTTGCTTTGAATTCGTGGAGCTTGGGCGAAAGTGACCTGCCTGCCATGTGGAACTATTTGAAGAGCCCTTTAGATCGACTGCCTAGTGCCAGAAACCACCTGAAGTGACCTGCCTACTGCCATGTGGAAGCATCTGAAGAGCCCCTTCCAAATCTCGTCCAACAGAACCGGACACAGGTCAAGACCAGTTCCAACCGCAAGGTGGCAAGGTGTTCATTCAACTTGATCTTCGATTTGTTCCTACTCCTTGGTCCTAACCTTCCCCGCAAGACCCGACGGTTTTGGTTGGGACGCCTCATGACGCCTCCCACAGATGTGTGGGATGCGGTATTCATTCTCAAGATTGACCATGTTTTGGGGTGGTGGTAGTGAAGTTAGTACCAGAACCCAAAATGTCACGATGTTTTGCAGCATTACTGTATATCAATGCTTCAGATTATTACATAGATCGTTTATGAATATGCATGATCATTTCCTGAATATGGCCACGGACGACCTTTGACCTTGCCACCACTTCACTTTTGCCCCATGAACGCTTCCCAAGATCTGGTAGATGGCCCCTAGTCGAGCCAGCAATTTCAAGAAGTATGTCCCAGTTGATGGTGGCTGTTTAAGACCTCAGACCTGGTCTCAACCCCCAAAGGCTGCTGACCCTAACGCAAGAACACAAATCTTGGCAAGACGTTTAGCCCCAAGTTTGGTAGCTCGATCTGTGTTATACGGTTTGCTGCATATGCTAATTTCTAAAAATCTCAGGTATAGCCGCTTCACCTCGAAAGAGCTTCGCAAGATGTTTGCAGCTGCCAATGCCGCTTGTTGGGAGATTGAGCGCAACATGGTAGGAGTGATTTTCGAAGCAAATAGAGAAGGGTGGAAAGGTGTTTAGGCAAAGTGTATCAGATGACGATACATGACCCAGCTCGATTGAGTAGTTTCTCTTGTTTTTTGCTAGAGGCCAGGCCAGAAGGTATTTTTGCATGGGAAAGCTGACTGACTCTAGCAAATTTGAAGCTGGTCAATGTTCAATTCAACATGACGTACTGGAGTGTGAACTTGGCCAACCGGGTTGTCCTATTGACTCCCAGCTCAGTAGGAGCGTATGTGACAACAAACATGCACAATGATGCACACAAACACTCAAAAAGCACTTATTTGTTGGGAAACCCTCCAACCTCTCCGGTGGGTTTGCTGTTTGTCGCGCCTGACCACCTGGCAACAGAATCCCTCAGACGGAGGGTTCTCCAGGTCTCTCGCAATGGCAAGCTCTCCTATTGCGAATGGCTGGCCGCTGGTGCACCGGCCGATTGGTACAGCCAGCAGTGCCATGCCGAACGGGCATTTGATACGCTGGACGTACAGAGAAATGGCTACATCCGGGCTGAGGATTTGTGCCAATTGCTCCCAAAAGCGCCTTTGGCTCTCACAGTCACGGATTTCAACGTCTAGGTCGTTTTCTCATGTTATTTTATTCTATAATGCGATTTGGGCAGAGGCCATAGATGGCCATGGGGGCATGGTGAGGGTATTTGGACCTTATCGTGGCCACTGAAGATGGGTGAAACCTTCCTGAACCGCCCCTGCAAATGCGTCGACGCTCAAAGGTGCACATCATAATGGTTGATGTTGCTGCACAAGAACAAGAATGCACACTGGATGGCATAGGAAGTGCTAGATTTGATGCCGGTTTGTAGTGGAGAGTGGCAGCCATCCAGATCTGCTACATGTCTCAGTAGACTTGCTAGGTGTGATTGCCTGTGATTCATGGGATTTTTGATCCACATTTGCAACACATAATCATATGCAGGTGCTAGATCAGGATGAGATCGAGCGGGAGATTCTTTGCAGCTTCCCTGACGAAGATGGGCGCTTGTGCTTCAAGGACTTTGTGAAATGTACAGGCTAGGTGAATCGTGACCATCAACAACCATAAAGGGAGGGGAATATATAAGATACACGCAAGAGTACCAGTTCCACATTTTTGGCCCCAATGCCAAGAGGAGCAGATATGCGCAGATCGAACTTTTATGGTTGTTGATACTTACCATTCACGAAAGCGAAGTTCAAGTCCACGTCTATGGGGAAGAAACTGCCGCGTGAGTTCACCGGCGACGCTGTGCTCGTCTCACGAGACCCGACGTTCACGGGCAGACGCTCCGCGAACGGAAAGAAAGGGCGATCGGCGGGCAGACCTGGGGTGTGAGACCGGGCCGCAGCGGTGAGCCGGGTTGGAAGTCGGATTTGCGGATCTTGGGGGATGAAGCGCGCCAGGTGGCATCAAGTTTGCCAGGTTTGGATGGTTTTGGCCATGAATGCCATGTACAGAATAGCGATCCAAAGACTTCAGATTGCATTGTCATTGTGCAAAGGCCAAAAGCCTTGCTACAGCATCGACCCGCCCCTTATATTTGATGAACTTCCATGTCTCACGGCATGTCATTAATCCATCATTAATCCACATATTTATAGGTATTTCCACATGTCCATAGATTCCATAGCATCATAGAATTCTGAAAAATTGATATAATATACCCGATACACCCTATCATATCCTTTTTCATTAGCAGCCCAGGGACATCGCTTTCTTCAACAGTCCTTCCCCTGGTTCTAAGGCAGCGCGGAGTTGCTGGAGTTGTTGCAGGACCCTGGCGCCACCGAGGGGCAGAAGATCCAAGTGCTGGCACCTTGGCGGCCCGTGGTCCACCCGTGAAGTTCCGTGGTCCACCCGTGAAGTTCCGTTCACAGGAAGGGCATGGTGTTTTTGGTGGATGTTATCCTGAAATGATCACGGAAAAGTTGAAAAGAGCTTGGCCCCCAAGACTTAGACCACACAACACACCTGGTTCCAATGCTGTTTGATTCTTGTCGTCCTTTGTGTTTGTTTTTGATGATTGCACAGATGGATTTTCGTGCTGAAGTTTCTGCCCAAATCTAAGGAGATGCTGAAGAACATGCTGGAGCTGATGTTTGCCCGTTTCGGTGACCAGATGATCTTCTGCGAGCTTCTACCACCCCATAAACCTTGTTTGGCAGATCCGAATTGGTCGACTCACTCATCATGGAGTGGCCCCAGAAGAAGTTGCCTGTGCTGGTCACCAGGTATGATCGAGTCACCCCCGAGTCCACATGCGCTCGCATGGACAGGCCCCGGAGACCATTGGACTTGCACATGAGGGCAGAACATGTTTCTGTTAGTAAAACTCTTTGGTGGGTTTGGGGCCAGTTTGGGGTTGGTCTTGCTGTTTGATCTGTTTGTTTGGATTGGAGGAGTCATCATCCACCGATATAAAGTGTTCCACAGCCAACCTCAATGCAATCTGAGTGAGAGGTGTGAACTGATGGTAGTACTAGGGATCCCTATGCTTGACACACTGGAAAAATCAGTTGTGGCTTTTGTGTTTTTAGCTTCAGCCAGTCAAAGAGACAATCGCCTCAAGCCCCACGACCCGATATGTATTTGGATCTTTTTTTGAATATTTTGCAAAACAATTTTTTTCCACGGGATCTCTATCCGTAACCTACAGCTGCACGCCGGACATCTCCCCCTGCCGCTCAGATGGAACCGGCAGGAGGGTGTGAGCAAAGACCTGTCCGAGCTCAAGGCGCAGGAGGCCAAGAGGAAGAAGGTCTTCGAAGCCATGGAGTTCCTTGGAGGGTGTGGACCGACCCCAAGCAGTGGATCAGCCCCCGAAGCGTTGAATGGGAAAGAACATGGCTTCCCTCTTGGTGAAGCAGGTGGAAAAGGTTGGTGAAGCTTGATGAAGCTTGATTCATGTTTCCAAACCAGCAGCTGGGGCGCTCAGCTTGGAGGCGATGGGTCCTAAAAGGAGCCCTGATAATTCTGTTAAAATGTACAATATACTGACTGAGTGTGCCTCAAAGTCTTTGACTCATCCTAATCAGATCCCACTTACTCCAAACTCCAAGGAGAGCAAAAGCAGAAGAGCTGCAGTCCTTGCAGAGGAGAGCGGGTGATCTATACAAATAATATATATACTGTATTTGATATAAGACATGCAGCTATGGTGTGAGATATATCAATGCACACCTCGTTCAGAGATATACAGTAGCTGATCTAAACATATCTGCAGCGCATCACGAAGAAAAGTGTCACATGAGTCCATCCCTGTCAACGGAGTGGGCAGGTGAGAGAATAGAGTCTTGAATAGAGCCTGGCTGGATGTACCTGCAATATAGGAATGGAAATAATATGAAATAATTATGGATTGTGATTGCCAAGGGGACTGTAGATGGTGTATGGCATGGTATGTCACAGATGTTGCACACATGCACATCCATGACGAGTGTAAGCTTACAGAACTTCGTGCCTTCTTCACCTAGCGGCACTATACTGTGCAGGAGCTTGCAGGAGAAGAAGGAGCGGGACGCGGGGTTCCAAAAGCAGCTGGCCTTGCTGCGCCTGGAACGCGAGGACCGGCTGGGTGGCTGTGGCCGGTGCCGCTTGCAGACACTCCGTGTGATAGAATATTGACTATGAAAATATGCCATACATGGAGTGTCTTGATCGATAATAAATTGAACCATCTTTTGGTGCATCAGGGAGCTTCAATCGCTGTTATGCCCAGCCCCTGAGAACAACTTTCATAGGGCGAAGAGCACAGCTAAAAGTTGATTTGGTGCATTGGCCTGGTATCTGCCATTTGGACGAGCCATTGGGTAGCGGCTACTGGTCGGTGGCGTAGGTGGCACGTCGCAACCTCGGTCGCTCGCGGAGGACACTGCGGCAGTGGTGGATGACGCAGACAAGTTGACCAAGTCGCTGAAGGTTTGGTGTGATCTCCGCCGCAAGGAGCACGCGGACATGCGCCTGGGACCGGAGTATGGGTTGGTGATACCTCGCCACGGTGATGTTGACATTGATTAGTACGTATGTGTGTTGTCGCCGGGAATCTCCACTTCAAATGGGTTCAATTGCTGTAATGAAAGTGGGATCGTTTGGAAGTTTAAAACATGTCTCTCAGACCACGATTGTCTTCAACCTGCTTGCATCTCCAACAGGCTTCAAGACATGTGGAGTTGCTGTGTCGGAGGGTAATTGTGATGCTGTCGTTGGGGCAAGGGCTGCCACTCGCTAAGGGAGGTAAAGATGCAGGAGGAGACCAAGTCCATCCAAAGTGCTTCCAAGCTACTGTGTCTTGCCATGAAGGATGCAAAAGCAACTCGAACGAAACGCGCAACGCCCTTGAACCCCTTGCCAAGCGCCTTTGGGAGACCGCGGATCTGCGGTGTTTGAGTGATCCCCAGGTCCCTTTTGGGAACTGCTTGGAAAACAATCGCCAAACCTGCAGACCCCCCGCCGCGGCCCCCAGGAGTTCTGGAATGTTGGAATATGTTGGAAGTGCGGGGCTTGAGGTTCACCCAAAGCCAGTGAAGGTATGTATGTTGGGATAATTTCGGTTATATTGTCTTGGCTTCGACTCAGAGGTTCGTGGAACCCCTGAGTCTGGTTGGTGGCCTTGTTGAGTCAAGGGTCTCAGAGCTAGAGCCTGGAGAAGAGGAGGAAGAGTCAGAGTAGTGACTAGATGTCGGCTTTCGGGGGCTTCGCATTAAGACACCTTCAACGAACGCACCTAGAATCGAGCCTCCAACGCCCTAGAGTGCCGTGGTTGCAAGACCTTGTGGTTGACATGACTGAAGTCATGGCGCTGGACTTGCAGAAAATTGCAGTTTTGCTACAAGATCATATGAAAACCCATCCGACTTGCAAATAAGCGTCGTACGAAATCAGCGCATTCCATTTACAAGGCAAACGAAGATACCTACCAGAGAGCTGGATGATTTGTCTTCAGGCATCTTCAGGCTGATGTATGATCCCAGTATCCCAGTGCAATTCTCAGGTTGGCTGGCACTGGCTTGGTCGCCTTCCAGCCCAGCCAGTCTGAACCCTTGGTCACCTTCATGCAGGTGTTGCAGAGGCAAACGCGGCGTGCGACGAGTGGTCACCGGCGTGCTCGGTCCGGGCGTTTTGGGGTACTGTACTTGTTGGTGCTACTACTTGGTGCTGTTGCACTACACGAGGGCCGCCTTGTTGTGCCATCAAATCACCCTCAATATTTCAATATGCCATAACTGTTCATTAGCTGCCATAGCCATGGATGCCCATGTTTTGGGATTGACATGTGTTCACTCACTGCAAATCAAACACATTATATATATATAATATAATACCGCCATTATAGCGACGCCAGACCTGATCTTGGGGCAGCCATGGCAAGTGACTGCAAGTGGGAGTATATCAAACACCAAGGGCAATTATCTTTGGTTCAACAGGAATCAACCTCCCTGGGTGGCTCGGTACTGGCTAACCAATTTCCGATGGCTTCGCAGGCACCGAAGCATCAGGGAGCGCAAGTCCAATGCGCGCGCCCTGAGAGGCAAGGCCAGCCGCTTGGTAGATCAAAAGCGAAAAGGCCTGACAAATATTGTATATACTGATACCGATACTCCTGACTGGCTGCACCCTTCCAGACGTGGATGGGTTTAATCTTTTCAGGCTCCGGCATTTTTAGTCATCAAGAGTCCACAGTAATCCTGGAAAAAGGTGGTGGATGTACATTGATTGTGCGGGCTGCCGTGCATGATGGGGCGCTTCGGAGGGCTTCCCGTTTGCCGCTTTCATTTGGCCGACAGGGCTGCCATAATGATCAGAATGGGCCGGCAAGTGTGTAGAAGTCATAACCCCGCTGGCTGACAGTGCTTGGCAAACTCTTATTTCAACTCCAGATGCCAAATGGTCTTGAAAGGGGCATGTTAGTTTGTTTGTCCGTCTGTCCAGACGTTCCCCCGCACACCCTGAACGGCCTCCCACTCTGTGGCGAATCGATCTCCTTGCATCTCCTTAGACGACTCGTTAGTCCATTTTCTTTATTTTGGTTCACCTTGTGTTCCTTTCATTTCCTTTTCTCTGTCACTTGGTGGCGGGCAGCTGCGCAAGTCGGAGAACCACCTGTCCCACCTGGAATTCCATTCGTGCGCCCTCGGCGCCCTCGGCCGAGCGGCCCTGGAACCCCACTGAGGCCCACTCAACAAGATCACCAAGTTGGTGGATTCCATGACCCAGGCTCCCACCGCTTAAGCGGTGAAGTCAGACTTGACCCCGGTGGGGCGAAGTGTCCATGTTTGAACTCAACTTAGGTTGGTCGCCAGGTTGGTTGATGTTCCTATGCTCACATCTGTTCACTGTTTCAAGGCAGCCCATTCTACTGCCCATTCTTTCCTCGCTCCATGAAAGAGTCCCTCGCACAGACTGGGAGGGCGGGCAGGTGGTTGAAACGATGGGCAGCACCGCAGGTGTTGCAGAAAGATCAAGAGGACGATGACTTGAAGATCCAGATGTGCAAGGATTGACATTTGGGTGCTTTTGGAGACGCCCAGAGATGGGTTTTATCCAAGGAAAAAGGTGGAACAAGAAAGCAAACAACGAAGTCCTCCGCCCTACTTGTCGTTCCAATTTGCTGATTCGGCGAAGCGAAGAACTGGTTTCTGTTTTTGACTGATGATGGTGTAGCAGCTGAAGACAGATTTTGTTGTGTTCAGCAGGTTCTTGAAAAAATCAATTGTTTTGAAGGTACTGCTGCAGTTCGGATGTATGTAGTTTTTTTTCTGCGAGCCGATTTGTGGTTCTTGCTGCGGGCCCAAAATTGATTTGGAAGACTCACACGGTCCAGTGCACCTTTTTTTGCGTTTGCCAAGTGGCGAACAAATGTATCATGGAGGAATATGCAGAAACGACGACCGCGTGTCTGACATGGGCAAAGTAACTGCCACGGACTAGAAAAGGGGTGGTCTTGAGACAGAGGTGCATGGGCAAGCACTTGCCATTGGCCGTGCCAGGACGAGCTTGCATCCACCAAATCCACTCAAACGCAGCTGAGCGACGCTTGTTCAGTTTGTTAGGATGAGGGCTTCTAAGAGCCAGATCATAAGACCAAAAGCCAGCTGTCAAGTTTGCCTTTTGGCATTTTGCCACCAAATCATGGGCACACAACTGTATCACATCATGATCCTGTAACCTTTGGAGGGTTCAGCAGATGAAATTCCTGTGGAGAACTTTAGAGGCTGAACTCTGAGTCTTATTATGATGAACGAACGATCGGCAATGGGCCGGGTGGCTTCCTGATGTTCAGGCCCAAATGGGTTCAAAATATGGGTTCCATGTGTCCAGAGAAGGCTCAGAAGGCTGGAACCAAAGCCATTGACGTGCACCTTGGGTGGCCCACCCTCCCGGAAACACCAAAAACCTCATTAGAGGAAGACTACTTAAGGATGAGTCCGGCCATCCCAATGGAGCGTGGCCGAGAGCACAACTCAGTGCCACGCAATCTATGAACAAAGCTTTGTAACCAATCAATGAAGAATCAGTCAGTCAGTCAGTCAATCAATCAATCAAATCAATCAAATCAATGCTCTTGTACCAATGCTCTTGCCATACAGTCACATACCTGCATGCGTCGTGGTCCCTCTTGGCAAAGCAACACGGCAAAGTTGTGTGAGTTTGAGTAGAATTTGCTGCCCCCCCCCCCCCACACCATATACCTTCGCTCCCAAGGAGAAGGAGCAGAGTAAAGCAGCTGATGTCGCGTCGTGACTCGCCCGCCGATGTCGTGTCGTGCATGTCCGAAGAGAAGGGACACGTTGCCAAGGGGGTTCCACATGGCTATAGGTGGTGTTGCCAGTGGTCTTCACGTTTGTTGATGGTCACTTCCTACTCGCAGCGTGTGGGATGAAGGTGCGATATAGTGTAATGTTTGCCCATAAAACGACTCAATTGCTCCCAGTTGCTGGGAGATGTTTGTCATGTGTTTATGGGTGGGGGCAGTTCGGATGCCGCTTACACATCTAGCTCAATTATCAACACCATTGCCGGCATCGTAAGTCATCATACGTCCCATGCGTATATCCTTTATTGTATACTGTAAACTGTAAGATCACAATGCATGTATAATTTCTACTGAGAGATGTGGCATACGGTGGAGTATGCCCTGCCAAGGGAAACTCAGAAACACAGATGATGCTAGCACAGGCACGGCCTCGTCTCACCTTCTGCCCCAGGCTAAGCGAACAGTTGGAGAGTTTGGAGCGAGATGTCGCTGCAGAAAAGACTCTTTTCTGCAGTGAAATGGCCTGAAATGGCCAGTCGGGCCCAGTGGTCTTGAGGATGACGCATTGGTTTCACTAGAAGGTGCAACCAAGTGCACAGGTGTGTCAAAGGTGCATATGATAATATGATAATATCAATATATCCCAAATATGGCGCACATATCTCGGTGAGTCGCATTGGTAAACCACTGGAGACGGGAAAAGGACAGGCACCTGGATTTCCAATGGCCATCGCCATATAGAGACCAATAGAGACTGCCCTCCAAAAGGTTGGTGTAGTGTTTCAATTGGGACACGGGCCCTCCAAGAGGATGGAGTGAGTTCTTCAGTTCTTCTAAGTGGGAAAAGCCAAGCGAAATCGGCGAGGTCGGTCGGTGCTTCGCCCCTTTTGTACCATCCCCGCAGCCCAGTTTGACCGCCGCCACAGAGAGAGAATGGCCCGGCATGGAAGACACTGTAGACCCCATTGATCCAGCAGGGCAGAAGAAACATGGCTTGGTGTTTTCATGTTCTTCGTTGGACCTGAGTTGAGACACAAAATGGCATGCAAAGATCTTTGCAACCAGCCCAAATGACCACTCATGATCCGGGACCTCGACCGTGCATGCCAAGCGTGCATTTTCCAGACAAATTGACCTGCCATGCGTCACTGTGCCCTGCCAGCAGCACTACTTGCAGTGGTAACTGGGGAAGGCAACCCGAGCTGCTGGCATCTTGGAAGCTGAAGGATGTCTCCATCCAACTTTCCAGGATGAATTCATTTTGTCAGACCCGGATCCCACACTTTGGTGGTTGTAAACAGTGGATGGCCCAAACAGAGGGGCCTCCTCAATCCTATAAAGCATGGAAGGTTCTTGCGATCACTTGTTTTTGGTCCTTAAACATCCTAAAGCCCAATTGTTTCAGAAATCTGTTGGGTTGAAGCAGATAGAAGTAGGCACGGATGCGCTTGCTTGCCTTCAGTCTACTATGAGTCATTTGTATAGAGAAGCCCACATGACCCATATGCCAAATTATGTGTATATGTGTGGATATATATATATACATATATCAGTCAGTGATGGTTGGTTCTCAACTCCTTCTCTTTCTCGTTTTTGAGTCTTACGTTCTGTCTTTTGAGCGGCCTGCTTGCCCCCAACAGGGTTTGCGCATGCTTGTACTTGTTTCTGGGACACTATTGTCCCCCCCAAAAAAACTATATTGGAAGTGCATCGCTTACTTCAACATAAAAGGGCGTGAGTGAGGTTTGGTCCACCAAGACCGCGTAAGGCAAGAGGGCTTCTCCTACAGCCTTTGCTGTGGTGAGCAGTATGGCCCAAACGGGAACGAGGAATGCTGGGATGGGATGCACACCTTCAAGACGTGCTCCTGGGACATCATGGGAGAGAAGTCCACAGCAGTGCTGAATGAGGGCATCTCCCTTTGACCTCCCGATGGCCATTTTCTTCCTATACACAATGGAGTGCTTGTTGTTGCTTTTGCTTGGTGTTTGTCATGGAACCCACTGAAATACTACAAATAGAGATTTGTTTCTCCTTGGGTTTGGGAGGCGTTGCATTGTTCCAGTTGCATATCTCCAACATAGACTTCACTCCTTGAGGTTGCATTTCTGGGGATTCCTTCGCATCCTCCGAGAACTTTGACGACCTCATGACACGAGGGAGCACAGGAGATGCTTCAGTGCTCCCTGCCATCATGCAGCTCTTGAGCACAGGCCACCCAACTGCGCATATGCGTGAGGAAAACGCGGCAAGGTGCTGCATGGAATCAGACAAGTAGGACAAGCATGGACAAGCCTGATGTATTTGATCAAAGGGCATCAGTAAATCAACAAAGTTGTGAGTTGCTGCATCAAGCTCGTACTGTGGCTAACCAATTGATCCAACTTCCAGGATTTGAGTGCCTAGCGGCTACCCCCAAGACGACGATCTGCACCAGGCCGTATCACATAATATATCATTAATCAATGGTTGTGGTCGGCCCCCCCCCCTGGTTGCTTCAGAAAGGAAGGAGGAAGGGGGCCGACCCTGACCATACCCAAGAGGTCCCTTTAGCCAGAAATTGGTCCATCACTCGCATGACCAAGAAATGCATCCAAGATTCTATCTCAGGACTCAGAATGCCCGGTTTAGCTTGGCGAACCACCCGTGCCCCGGTGCCAGGCGGCGAAGACTGCCCCAGCGTGGCCGGGCAATGTGAGGGCGCCGAGGGCATTAGCGGCGCTCAGTGGAAGGCCCACGAGTTCGCGATGCTTAGTGGATCCAGCATGTGCAAGGATGAGGAACCATGACGAGACTGGTTTAGGAACGCAGTGCATATACTTCAAAACCTGTTGGGTGAAGTGGTTTCTTCACTAAACAAGAACCGGTGCAGTAAGGTTAGTACTATTAATTTCCACCAAAATTGGGGCAGTCAGGATTATACTTGGTTAACTTAGGACTGGGATGATCCCTTCCCCCCTATGAGCGGGCATGAGCGCGCCAGTTTGGTGCCCAAATCAGTTCCGACTGCAAAGAGGGTCATTCCTTTTTTCATTGAACATCCGATGCGAACCAGGCCTTTTTCGAAGCCTCCAGTGTCTCAAAGTTCATGCGGTTGCAACCCTTCCCTCCAGAGCCTTGGTCAGACGCTGCAAAAGTGTGTCCAGTTGTTCTTTTGGCGCTGCGTGTATATAGGGGCTACCGACCAGAGGTCAGGCTTTTGAGGAAGAAGGAGGAGCAACGGTATTTATTGCTAGCGAGGGGTCCGCATACCTTTCGAGCAGGTGTTTGGGCATGCAAAAAACACATCCTTGGAGTTGGTTTGGAGCCTTCTGATGGGGTGGAGTTGGATTGTAGGTCCTTGCTGAAGATTGTTGGAGTGCAGGCTTCCTGGGCTACTAATATGATTGCCATTGGAAACCAGACTCTTCCGGACGTAGGCCGATGGCGCAATGATGTGCAATGTATCCAGATAGTTGTTTTCAGAACGTCGTCCCGGGTCACCTTTGGAGTGACTCTCAGTGAATCAGACCTCCAACTTCCTCAAGTGTTAAATCAAGAGGAGGCATGAATGAACACGTTCTTGTGGCAATCAGTTCTTCATCAATTGTTACTTTCGACCTGAGAACTCCAAAAAGAGACCAGTCTCAGCCTGGAGTCGTGGTGCTTCCGGCTTAGACCCCTAGGATGGCGACCCCCGGGAGCTTTGGTCCCTTTGCTGCGCCAACCGGACCATCAGCGTGACCGAGCATGCAGAGCGCTTGTGGCCACGCTGCCGTGCGGGCGCCGCCGCGCTGGTCATGGCAGTGCTGCCGCAGCTGGAGCTGCGCTTGGGGCAAGAGTCGGCGATGGAAGGACAGAGGATGGCACAGGATGGAGGAATTCCACGACAACAGACCTAAACTGATACTTGTCCGGGTCTCTAGGGTCTACACTCCCACAGTAAGTGTTTGCAGGTTGTATATGAGTTTTAATGGGTGTTTTTTCTTTTTTGTGTATGCTACTTACGTACTGTGGACTGACCATCCTGAATCATTCGCATCGTGTTTGTGGAAGTAGTTTCTTTTGGTTGTTATTTGAGGAGGCTGTAAGAAGCATGCCCACAACATACCCCTGAAAGACTTCAATTTTGGCAGCAGCGTTGGACGTGCTGGGGAATTATGTCAAAGAAGAATGAATCCTCAATTTAAAGCTGTGGCTGACGTTGTGACATCTCATTATATATAGTTTCCTTCCTTGCGTTGCCCATGAAACATGCTTTTGCAAACGAAGCCGGTGAAAACCCGCGCGAAGCCAAGCCACACAACATCAGCTGCTCGACATGTGGCGATTGTTCGATCGTCCCAGAAAGGCATTGGCCCACAAGTGGTCCACAGGAATGCAGCCATGGCAGAAAGGTTGGCACCAGACATTCTCCTCTGGCGAGACACCGGTTTCAATTCACAGCCTCGCCGTGTACATACATGAGCAGATCAATGGCACTCACGCAGATATTTTTCGCCAACTGTACGAGCGACTTGATACTCTGGAAATTCCCAACAATGGATCCAAGACCTTGATATCATTTGACACGGCTTGTGTCATTGTGGAGGACATCGGGGCTCATGCAGATGATTTGAAGTTGTTCTTGGCAGAGGACGAGCTGTTGGAGAAGTCCGTTGGTTTTCCAGAGCTGCAGGATCATGGTCCAGATTCCAGATTTGTCACGTCCTCGCCATCCTCGTCATGCATTGTTTGGCTTGAAGGGGATGTGCTCCAGTCAGTTGCCGACAGCTGAGAGTGTTCCGGAGGACCTAACCACCAAGGAGCTTCTTGCAAAGACAAGGTCCGAGCCTGTGGGAATGTACTACAAAGACAGAGGTGATGGTGGATATATCGTGTACTCTTTGAAAGGAGGGACGTATACTTTGAACAAAATTCACATGAAGAAGCACCCAACAAGTGGAGAATTCAACGTTTGGTTCCAGACACACACATGTGCAGGATGGCGCTCTTGCACTGGACCCTGTGCGGGTCGTAAGGGGGTCTCTTGGTATGATGTAGCGGAGGAGGATGCTCCTTTCCTTCCTGAACCCAAGCAAGCCAAGCAGTTTGGCTATGCGCTCCGCGAGTGTGTAGGGTACTGTCGCATGGCAAGAAGACTGCAACAGAAGGAATAAGGTACGTTGCCAAGCAGAGTGCACCACGCAGTAGTGAGATGCCAGTCACAGATGGGTGCCCAACGAAGGATCCCATACCCAATGTAGCAATGTAGTACTGAACTCTTCCATCAACTGTCCCATCACAGTTGATATGTCGCTTGTAAAGTTTGCTCAAACATTCCCCAGCCAAACTCCTGGCTCAAAAAGAGAATCAGAACTTGTCAGGTGCGGCACAGCATTACATGATACAGTGTTGCAACAATCCAACAAAGTTCACCACTCGGGAATGTCAATTTCGCTCAGTTTCGGACCAATTTTCAACGCACAAAGCGAAGCCGTGTGCCTGGACTGGCAGGACTCGAGGTGGCGGGGAGGATGGCCGAGCAGTTAGAGGCTGAAGCTGATTGCAAGTGGTTTCTCAGCTGAACCCAAGCTATTCCATGCCATTGTCAGGGGTTGCAGCTGCAGGTTACTCATAGTTACTCCTATGCCGCCTCCACGTGGACAAACATGGAACCCGTTGTTCCGCAACAATTCTGCAAAATAGAAGTAGCTTTGGGAAAAAGATGCCACTTCAATGAGGCAGGTGACGAATCCAAGACTTCCCACAGCTCTCCCAAGTTTTTGATCTATAGTTCATGGCCAGCTGGACCAGGTTTTGATGATCCTAGATCCTAGATGGCAATGATGCTAGACAACCCTGTTATGTTTTACATGTAGTTGTTCTCTAATTTATTTGCTTTGTCAGTGTTCATCCAAGGGATGATTCTTGGCGCAGGTTATATCAGACCAATCGGGCCGCTTGGTCCCACTTCACATGGTTCCTCTCAGAGGCCAAGCCAGGCGAACAGTTTCTGGGCGAAGGGGATATGTTTGGGTGGATGGGATGCACAAAAAATGGAGGGTTCTGAAGAGGTAATGACTATGAGAAAGTTGTAAGTATAAACAATGAGCAACTTCAAAAAGGAGTTGAGAACCGTCGAGTATGTATATAAGTCGTCGATAGACAATGAGATGGGGACGCATCGTCACAAGGCGTCCACAGCAGCAGCTGCCTGGGGTTTTGAATTCCTTCGTTCACAAGCGAATAGCAAGCGGATCCAGGGTTGATGGACTATCCACGATATACCCTCTCCGAAGCCACTCAGTTGATCATATGTTCACATCCCCAACCTTCTCAGAGGATGAATCCAGAAATCCTCCAACCTTCTTTTGTCGCCCTCTCGTCACGGTGTCACCAGACCACCAATCCTCCGCCGTGCGATCGCGCAGGTGGGCCAATGCCCTGTGGGCCAGGATCGCCCAAAATCTTTGTGGCGGAGCCAGCCGAGTTCAAGTCGCTCTGGGCCAATCCCTTGTCCTGTGCGGAGAGGGGCTTGTGCTTCACTGAGGCGTTGGGGCGAGAAAGCGGTGATCGGACACCGCGTTTTTTGGTTCCGCACAGCTCATAAAGAAGGATAACAAGAATACTATGATAATCAGGAAGAGGAGGAGGAGGAAGCTGATGAGGATTAAGCTTTTTGATCACTCTCACGGACTCTCGCGGTGATGCCTCCAATTCTTGATCATTGAAGAGATTAATCATATATGCACCCCACGACCCTGGAAAGTGTGGAGTAATTTCTTGGGGGCCTACTCTGTGAAAGTAAGAAGAACTTGTTTCTTATCCTGTTTGTTAATTTTAGGTCCTGGTGGGGTTTAATGAACACTTTCCCAACAACTTAGCAAGGTGTGCTCCTAGCAGTTTGGTAACCAGCACACGGCCGTACTTGGGCCAGACGCACTGAGTGACTGTAGAAAAAGAGTTATATACCCTGTTTGTGGCCGGACTGGGAACATGGACAAGTCGCTGAAAGTACTGTATCCATCATGGCGATGGTCATCTGAACTTTTGAGACGTCCTGATAGAACCCAAATCCTCCATGAGCTCCCTCAGCCTGTTCACTCGCCAGGTGTGGGTGCATGAGTTCCTCCGCCGCGCCGAGTGTCGAGTGAGCCAAGTCAGTGAGGTCAGGACCGAAACAAACAAGTTGGTGCTGCACCTAAGGTTTGTACTCATGCAGGGTAGTAGCGGACAAGACTTCACATGATTCGACCAGGATTTGTTTCCTTTCTTGGGTCATGTTCTTATTATGATGTTTTTCATATTTTTTCTCGTACCGAACCTCAGTCACAGCATTCCAAAAAAAATCACACAAAAAATGAAGGACATGCAATTAGAATGTTGACGCAGGAAAAGATAAGAGACATAGAAAAAATATTCATATGGTAGAAGTCGGCCATGATGTCTTAGGTGTTCATGAGGTTTGCAGGTAAATGTTTGGCAGAATCTCAGATTCTGTTGAGGAGTTCTTGGCTGGGAGCCGGTGCAACAAACTGTGAGAACATGTGTTGCCTTTTGGTATTCCTGGCCTTGCAGCTTTAGTTCAGTCAATTTGTATAGGCATAGGCCATCTTAGTTTTACCAAGAAGATGATGCACAATATTTGTTGTTCAGAAATTGCGCGGGGAGAGGTGTCAGCAACCAAAACTTTTGCCGGCCCCCCCCTTCACGAAATCCAAAGGACAGGCCTGGAAGTAAGAATCAACATTGCCTTCGCTCTTGGTCTCTTTGGGATCTCCAGGCGGATTTCGTCTACGTGCCCATTTACATGTCCTGCAACAACCTGCACGAGGCCTTGGAGTCCAACTCCCAAGAACGAGTGGCCTTGGAGGCCTTCATGTCCAGGCTCACGCTAGAAGAGGGCCCGCTCCTGGGCTGCACGAGACAGGGACAGTCCCCCCCCAGGCTTCCACCTTCCTGGATTGTTTGAACATTCTTGAGCATCAATGGTTTAGATGTTGCTTGATTGTTCTTCTTTGCGAATGGAAGTGCAGCGACACGTACAGTGCAACTTGTACATATATATGTACCATATGTACTTTGGCTCAAGGATCAAGCGACTAGAAAAGGTGCGGTTTCCGTTCCGACGCTACGCCGCTTATGGATCGTCAGTGATAGCTTCAAACTTCGCTGATTAAGATCCACTCGCAGGTTATCAGCCGTACGCGCTCTTTATAGCCGTACGAGCTACACGAGACCAAGAACAAGACTAGTCATTACAGAAACCTGCAATGTCAAGCTCAGGAGGAAATGGAAGCGAACCCTATTCATTCGCTGCTCCTGGTGGTCCCAACACCATTTCGTCACCAGACTCTACAATGGGTACTGATTCATCAGCAAATGCTGACGTTATCACTATGCCTACTGGATCACAAATCTCGGAAAGATCCGTGCCACCGGCTCGGAATCTGACCGATCTTGCACCCGTAGGACCAAGAAGATCGATGAGAGCTACAACAAGATCTACATCGCCTATAACGTCTACCGCGAGATCCCCAAGAAGGAGTATAGAGAAAAGACGTGACGATGATAGAGGAACAAAAGAGCAAAGAAGAGAGATTCAGCTGGGTGAAGAATTGAGACCGGCGAGAAACGCATACAATTTTCTTCATGAAGAATATGAATGCATCCAAGCCGGATACTCACGACTACACCACGAGGCTGAAGTGGAGTTCAGGCAAATGTCTGACTACAACAGGAAGATGCAGGAACATCTACAAGAGATGACACAGGAAGATGAAGGAGCGACAATAAGAATTGAAGAGCTCGAACACAAGCTACGCTTGGCGGAATCGACAGCTGAACATATCTACATGAGATATCAAGAGCTTGCACAAGAAACTCATCAAGAACATTCAGAGCTTGAATCTGTGAAAGCAACGAAGGACAGAATGTCCCAAGAGCTTCAAGCAGCAATTGGACACATCCAAGAACAGAATGAATCTTCATTGGCGATCAATAGAAGATCAAAAGCCATTCAGGATGAGAACACAGCCTTCGTCGGAATAGCTGACCAGATACAAGCTAGAATGATTGCGCTACAGAATGAGAATGTCAACATGCACGAGGTGATCCAACACCAGAGAGAAGAACAATGGAACAGTGAGGTCAGGGAAAGACGTCTTCAACACAGTGTTCACTCATCTCAAGATCAGAGCAATCAGGAAGCTATGGTTATTGATCATCTACGAGGTCAACTAGCTATGGCACGTGGAGCTGAACTCAACGCGAGAGCGGAGATAGAAGAGATGGAGTGGGCATGAGGATGGAGATATTTGTATGCCAGACTGAAGTCTCTGCTAAAGAAATGGCAGAAATGAAGGCGAGCCACCATGAATACGAAGCAAACGTCGCAAAGGAGGTTATCGCAAAAGGAGAAATATTCAACAACGAAGTCCTAGAAGGTTCCATCCGTGAACGACAACAGTTGAAAGACGCCAACCTCGCTCTATCCGAAGCCAACGCACAGCTGAAAAGAGAGAATATGATGAGAGCTCCTATGTTCGGCGATGATGGTGCTGAAATTCAACAGAAGATCAGAGAACTGGAGAATGCACTATTGGAAAGCCAGAAGGAGACAAAGAATGTCATTATGGAAAATGCGAAATTAAAAGCAGAAGCACGAATGGCACCCATAGTCTCTCGGTACAGCAAGCGTCCTAGTTCCAGAGACCGCGGGTTACCAACCCACGCGTCCGAGGAAGATGAGATTCGGAACGCAAAAGAGGAGGCGAAGCACTACAAGGACGGGTACAATGAAATGACAGAGAGCCGAGATGAGATGTATGAATGGTATGCCGAAACCCACAATGAGTACGCCGAGGAAAGGGAGAAATCAATTGAGCTATCCGAGGCGAACAAATCATTGAGGGACAAGATTTCAGAAGCAGAAGCATCCTCCTCTTCATCTCATCTTGCACCGGCAACCTCTACAATCATGAAAGTATCGAGGAAGGAAGAATCAAAGATAAACGTTCCGTCATGGCCCAGGATCAATGATCTTGGACTATGGAAGGCAAATCTCATTCAATCGATCATCATTGCGGCCAATGATTCAGATCAAGAGCCCTGGATCGACTGGATCAAAGAAGCCATGGACGATCCTGATCCGGACAAGTTTGTCGACTCAGGAGACCAAAGATTCCATTCAATCGATGCCAAACTCGGCCTAGCTCTTACCAAGGTCGTCATGGATGCGAAAGATGATGGTTCAGGTGTAGCTATGAAGTTGAGGACGAGGATCAATGCAAAAGGGAGAACATCAAGCCTCATAAAGGGAAGAGAGGTCCTAGCCCTGATCCTTATGAATTTCAAGACAACATCAAATGTGGAAGTCTTATATACTTCAATGCACCTCTACCAACTAGAATATCAAGGAGACAAGAACTTATCGTTGTTCTTCCACACTTGGGATGAGATTCTGGCAGGAATGAAGCCCGTTGACGTCCCGAGCGACGAAACTCTTCGGGATCTCCTATGGAGAAAGATCAGGAACTCAAACCTCATGGCATACGACATCAGCGCCTACAACAGCATGAACGACGATGATGCCAAGAAGACATACAAACATCTACGTGATATGATCAGAAGGCACATCGAACGGCAAACTGAAGACAGGATGATCCTGGAAAAGGAGAAGGCAGTGAAGAATGTGGCCAATATCTTTCAGAATCTCAAACCAGGCGGACCTGCTCCAAAACTGAAAGCTGCACCAGCTGATCCGAAGAAGAAACCAAAAGGGCAACAAGAACAGGTTGTCTCAGAAGACGCTGCTGCAGTGAAGCCGAAACCCAATCCCAAGAAGCATCCTGAAGACAAGAACAAAAAGGGAAAGGGGAAAGGTAAAGGTGATGGAAAGGATCGCAGCCGAAGTCCGAGTACAGACAAGAAGAAGATACCATGCAAATACTTCGTGAAAGGTAACTGCACTATGGGGAAAGATTGCCCATTCAGTCACAAGAAACCCAGATCACCATCCAGAGGATCTTCTGTCGGAAAGAATGACAAGCCAGTATGTTGGATGTGGATTCGAGGAACTTGTGACAAAGGGAAGGATTGCAAGTTCTACCATGACCCAAAAGCCTCTCCTAAGAAAGGGATATCTGCACCAGCTGACTCAGGAGACGATAGGCCAAAGCCCAAGGCAAAAACCCAAACCGAAGCCTAAGGCGAAGCCTGGAGCCCCAGCCATTGACGGTGAACTCTTCATGGACGAATCCGAAGATGAAGGGATTGCTGCATCCGCCAAGGCAAGAGAAGGAGGTGCAAAAGTATCCTTTGATGAAGAGACTTGTGAGATCATGTTGAACGAAGCGATCTACTCAGTCAGGAACAAATGGAAGGTAGTAGAAAGGAAACCTCTACGTCCAGACATCAAACGATACGATGAGAAAGAGCTCACCTGCTACACGAGGAAAGAACAAATCAGATTTGAAGAAAAGGTCGCAGAGGCAAGAGGCATATTGATGGTCCCCTACACTGAGATCAAGAGGGTCCGAATACCAGTTGGACCAAAGGGTGACCTAGCGGTCACTATGTCTTTTGACGAAGATGACGGCCTAGTTTTCCATCATAAAGTCATTCCTCATGTATGCGAGGGAAAGAAAGATCATGCAGACACAAAGACATTGTCTATTCCAGCCAAAGGGTCAAGAACAAAGTTCATCATGGACACAGGATGTGGGTATGATTTGATATCGAAAGGCAGAGCCAAGAAATTAGGTCTGGAAGTGAGAGAAAGCGACCAATCAATGTCATTCTATACCGCAAATGGAGTGACATCCACAAAGGGAGTCGCCGACATTCATTTCGACGAATTTGACTCTACCTACTCCCCATTCGTCTTAGATGAGTCTCCTTCAGTACTGTCTGTTGGAAAGAAATGCATGGAGGAAGGTTACACATTCATATGGCCAGCCTGCGGCAACCCGTACATGGTTTCCCCGAACTACAAGAAAATCATGTTAGAAGTAGAGGGAAACATCCCATATATTGTCAAGGGCAGTGACTTCTGTAACCCCACCGACGATGTAAGGGCGGAGATGATCGCAAGGTTCACCCTGGGAGAAGGTGAAGCTGATTACCAATCGGCTTTCATCAACTGTGATGTGGATCCTCAAGGCGTCATGTGTGATGATGACGACCTCCCTGTGATTGAGCCTCCAAAAGTCAAAAGACGAAAGAGGAATAAGAAGTTCAAGGCATCTCCTGGAGAAGAAGATGAGGTAGGATCAGATGTCGCCGGAGACAGTGAACCAGAAGCTGACGATGATGATGCAGATGACATCGAGGTGGATATTGTTGACGGTGCAAGCAGAATGGTGAGAAGAGGAACTCTGAAAGCAGATGCCAGGAAAATCGAACATCTACTCACACACCGTTACAAGAATCCCTACTGTGAGTCATGCATCAGAGCAAAGATGAAACACTTCAAGACGCATCGAGGAGCGTTCAAGAGAAAGCTCAAAGCTTTTGGGGATCTGGTTACCTTTGATTTTGTCGATACGAGGAACATCCTTGATCAAGGGATCAGTACTGATCGAGAGATCTTCGTCATTCGTGACAGGTACACAGGCGTCATATGGGCCTATCCGTCGAAAGAAAGGTTTGCCAAGGACGTGGTCAATGCAATAAACCACTTCAAAGGATTGAAGAAGATCAAGATTGCTTATGCCGACAAAGCCCCAGAGTTTGAGACGGCTATGAAGCAGCTGAAGATCCCATTCGATCATTCTCTACCGAATCATCCTCAGAACAATTCTCTGGCGGAGAGGAACAATCAGGTCATTATGATGACAACCGCAACTTGCCTCTTGGAAGCGGGATTACCACCATGTTTCTGGAGCTGTGCAGTAGAATGCGTCAGC